ATCTAGATGTGGTCCTTTCAAACCTTCCCCCTCCCCTTTTTTGAAAGAACGCTGTAAACCTCATCTTTTGAGGAAGAAGGGTTCTTTCGAAAAAAGGTGGTTTTTGTTAGAACTGCTTCTAGACTGCTTGCTTTTTCAAAAAAACCTCTTTCAAAAAAGCACTCGGAAGAAGATATGTAAATTTGCACCAAATTTGCATATCTCCTTTCGAAAGAAAAACGTAGTCTAGACATGCCCATAGACAGCAAGCAGGCTCAGTTGCATGTACCTTTTGGGTTGCTCAAATGCTAAATTAATATGGACTAGCCTCTGGCATTTTGAGTCTTTCAGTCTGCAAAGCCTTGCTTTCTAAAGCAGGGCTACTCAACCTGTGGCCCATTTGTTTGTGGTTGGTGGCGTGGTTTGGCTTTACACAGGGCTCAACATGCAGCCCACGGTTGGGAGCCAAAACAAAAAAAATAGCCTTATGTTGAGATGCGTTTTAGTAGTTAAATTCCTGGACTGTCATTGCTTATTAAAAGTGCTGTCATATGGGTGGAAATCAGGTAAATACTGCATTTTATTAATATCAGCAGAACTAATTTAAATGGGGCCTATGTGTTGTGTAGTCTTTCTTTAATCTTTGTATGAAAGATTGCCCATCAGTGTGAAAGACGCTATTTGCACGTATATGCAATCACACTTAAGTTGCGTCCCTTGGCATGTGCTGTGAGTATCGTTGTGGCCCCCAGGGCTTCCAACATTGAGTAGCCCAGTTCTAAAGCAAGGTCCCTTCTTTCCCCTCTGTGAAGTGTCATAAATACAGCCTGCTCTGCAGGATTAAGTCCAGAAAAATAGATTAAATCAGTGGGGAAGAGAGACACTCATTTTAACCCAGCTCTGTAATGATTTCCACAACTATATCAGCTTCCCTTCAAGGATCTCAAAACACATAAACATTAATGAAAGACAAGGTGGATGAGGGAATATCATTTATTAGACCAATTTCTGTTGGAAAGCTACACAGAGCTCTTCTTCAGACTTAATTGCTCTGTGCCTCAGTTTCCCTACCTGTAAAATGAACCGTGTTTGCATACCTCTCACAGGGTTTCAAAAGCTTATTTGGATACTGTTTTCAGTGTCCCTATAGCAGGCCTGAAAATAAGCTCTAAGTCCGTGGTCACCAACCCGTTGATCGCGATGTATCTAGATGTGGTCCTTTCAAACCTTCCCCCTCCCCTTTTTTGAAAGAACGCTGTAAACCTCATCTTTTGAGGAAGAAGGGTTCTTTCGAAAAAAGGTGGTTTTTGTTAGAACTGCTTCTAGACTGCTTGCTTTTTCAAAAAAACCTCTTTCAAAAAAGCACTCGGAAGAAGATATGTAAATTTGCACCAAATTTGCATATCTCCTTTCGAAAGAAAAACGTAGTCTAGACATGCCCATAGACAGCAAGCAGGCTCAGTTGCATGTACCTTTTGGGTTGCTCAAATGCTAAATTAATATGGACTAGCCTCTGGCATTTTGAGTCTTTCAGTCTGCAAAGCCTTGCTTTCTAAAGCAGGGCTACTCAACCTGTGGCCCATTTGTTTGTGGTTGGTGGCGTGGTTTGGCTTTACACAGGGCTCAACATGCAGCCCACGGTTGGGAGCCAAAACAAAAAAAATAGCCTTATGTTGAGATGCGTTTTAGTAGTTAAATTCCTGGACTGTCATTGCTTATTAAAAGTGCTGTCATATGGGTGGAAATCAGGTAAATACTGCATTTTATTAATATCAGCAGAACTAATTTAAATGGGGCCTATGTGTTGTGTAGTCTTTCTTTAATCTTTGTATGAAAGATTGCCCATCAGTGTGAAAGACGCTATTTGCACGTATATGCAATCACACTTAAGTTGCGTCCCTTGGCATGTGCTGTGAGTATCGTTGTGGCCCCCAGGGCTTCCAACATTGAGTAGCCCAGTTCTAAAGCAAGGTCCCTTCTTTCCCCTCTGTGAAGTGTCATAAATACAGCCTGCTCTGCAGGATTAAGTCCAGAAAAATAGATTAAATCAGTGGGGAAGAGAGACACTCATTTTAACCCAGCTCTGTAATGATTTCCACAACTATATCAGCTTCCCTTCAAGGATCTCAAAACACATAAACATTAATGAAAGACAAGGTGGATGAGGGAATATCATTTATTAGACCAATTTCTGTTGGAAAGCTACACAGAGCTCTTCTTCAGACTTAATTGCTCTGTGCCTCAGTTTCCCTACCTGTAAAATGAACCGTGTTTGCATACCTCTCACAGGGTTTCAAAAGCTTATTTGGATACTGTTTTCAGTGTCCCTATAGCAGGCCTGAAAATAAGCTCTAAGTCCGTGGTCACCAACCCGTTGATCGCGATGTGCTTTCCAAACACATTTCCCCTGTTTCCAGGTTTGATTTCATCCTGGATAATGTTGGTGGAGCCACAGAAAATTGGTCTCCAAATTTCCTCAAGAAATGGTCAGGAGCCACATACGTTACCTTGGTTACACCCTTTCTACTGAATGTAGACAGACTTGGAGTAGCTGATGGCATGCTACAAACAGGAGTCACCATTGGAACCAAAGCTGTAAAGGTACAGTAACAAAATGGATACTTTAACTTTTTGTAATAAGGTCTTTAGATGTAGTCAGACTCCTGGTACAGATGGTTTTGTTTTTGTTTTTTTGCCTGATTCCTGTATGCTTCGTTAGGCTGTTCATGCTCTCCCAGCTGTGTTGGGTTGGTGATAGTTGAGTGATACTGGTATCTTGTCTGGCTGGTGTGGGAGTGTTTTGAGTGCCTCTGAGTTGTGATTTTTTTTCATTCTATAGTAAAACTCCATTAGTCCGGCATCCAATGTTCCGGGACTCCTGATGGTCCGGCACCATCAGGAACCCAGAAGTGCTGGGGCAGCCGGACAGGCTTCCCCCATTCAGCTGCTGCTGAAACTGACCAGCAGCTGAATCGTGGACCCCTGGGGTAGAGCAGCTGGGGTCCTGCCGGGTTGGTCCCGCATCGCCGTCCTTTGGCGCTGCGGGGCCCACCCCCG